GAGCCGGGCGGCTTTCTCAACGTGCTCGGGACCTCGATGCTTTCCAACCTGAGCAAAACATCGCCGTCAAAAACGCGTACCTGCCCGAGTAGGATTTATGAAACAGGAGACAGAAAGCATTAGCTGACGTTACGTACTGCATCTGTTGGGATTCTTTGTGTGCAACCAGCTGACAGACTCTGGTCTCCCACAATCTTGTGGGATCCATCAGACTCTAAAAGCTTGAAAAATAATTATTTAATGTGAAATATATTTCACTAGGTAAAAAAAAGTTTTGCTATGACCATTTTGAACGTGAATACACCTGATAAACTACAAAACGCTAATACTGTTTAAAAACAGTTGAGTCACGCTAGCATTGACTCTTATAGTTTGTTTCAGTATAAGGGCCAGATTTACTAAACAGGGCAAATTAGCGTGAGAGCGCAATTCCAAAATATCTACTGACGATGCGCACATTAAAAAACACAAACACAGCTGAATCATTTACATAATGACCAACACAATCTAAGGCCCCGTCCACACTACTGCGTTTGTCATAGAGCCAAGCGTCAGCCTTTGCGTCAGCGTTTCCAAACTTCTCCGTTTTAGGTCTTCGTTTTTCCCCGTTTTAGTCTGGACGGGAGGTGCAAACGTAGCAAAAGGTCTCCGTTTTTAAACTAAAACGCAGTAGTGTGGACTGGGCCTAAGAAGAGCAGTGCAGATTAGCGTCTGGTTTAAAGGATTAGTTCACTTTTAAAAAAACTTTTGCTGATAATTTACTCACCCCCATGTCATCCAAGATGTCCATGTCTTTCTTTCCTCAGTCGAAAAGAAATTTAGGTTTTTGATGAAAACATTCCAGGTTTTTTCTCCATACAATGGACTTCAATGGGAACCGGATGGTTCAAGGTCCAAAAGACAGTTAATAACAGTTACAGATGCAGCTTCAAACATCTTTAAACGATATCAGACGATGAATAAGGGTCTTATCATGCGAAACGATCGTTTTTTTCAAAACTTATTCCAAAAATGTAACTTTTCTAAGGACAAATGCTAGCATTGCTCTATTCTGTGAGGCGCGTTTGCAACGTCACGTAATACGTAATTATGTTCAAAAGGTCACGGGCGACGTAGCCGAAAGTACAGAGTCAGTGTTTAGAAGTTGAACGCATAGGTTGAACGTGCAAACTAACTCAAATGCCGTTTACAAAAAAAGGAATTAAAAGGAAAAACAACGATGTCGGACGATTTTGATTCTGTACTTCCGGCTACGTCGCCCGTGACCTTTTGAACGTAATTACGTAATACGTGACGTTGCAAACGCGCCTCAGAGAATATAGCAAGGCTAGCATTTGTCCTTAGAAAAGTTACATTTTTGGAATAAGTTTTGAAAAAACCGATCGTTTCGCATGATAAGACCCTTATTCATCGTCTGGTGTCGTTTAAAGACATTTGAAGCTGCATCTGAATCTGTTAACACTATCTTTGGACCTTGAACCGTTTGGTTCCCATTGAAGTCCATCATATGGAGAAAAATCCTGGAATGTTTTCATCAAAAACCTAAATTTCTTTTCGACTGAGGAAAGAAAGACATGGACATCTTGGATGACACGGGGGTGAGTAAATTATCAGCAAAAGTTTTTTCAAAAGTGAACTAATCCTTTAAGACATGCTGTTTGAGTGTTATATAATGGCGCAAACACCAGGGCAAGCACCCGGTGTAAATGACTTTGTACACTGACGCATGCATCATTCCTATTTTAATACATCATTCGCAAAGTGGGCTTTTCCCTCCACAGACGCACGTCGGTAAACTAGGAAATGATCTTGCGCTCCCTGGGCGGATCGACGCAAAAAGGAGGCGTGTTTTGGCACGAACATTCCCTGGTGCTATTTTACACTTTCAAAAAACAATTGCGCAACTGACCAGAAAACACCTGGTCTAAAGTCAGTGGCGTGTTGCGCCATGTTTATAATGCTATTGTAAGCGAGCATGCTTGCCCATAATGTAGCGGGTGCACAACGCGCATACACTTTGATTCTCTCATCAACACGGATGCAGCAGTTTATATTTGTGCAAATTAGGGCTGACTTCTAATAGTCGAGGATTACCCTTAGGCTAAAGCGTTAAGTTACAAGTTACAAGCTCACCACCGCATCAAAAACATGAAAAATACTACCTAAACATAGCCTAACTGTTTAGAAAAAAAACACAGAATGAATAGCCTAATGCGCATACGTCCATCTCTTTTGTTTGAAATGGAAAAAATATATCTGCTAGACCTATCTAAAAAAAAAAGGTTCGACTATCAGTCGACTACGGCAAAATCTAACGAATCAGATTCGACTATGAAAATCCTTTGTCGAAAACAGCCCTAGTGCAAATCATACATTATAAAAAGGAAAAATATTAACACATGAGGGAAATCATTGTGGTGTCCATGAAGATGGAAAAAAAATGTAGGCTTAAATCTAGTTTACACATTTACCCAAATTTTTCAGGCTAATTGTGGTAATGACGGATCAGATCTGTTTGCCCAATAGTGGCAAGACACATGTATATAAAGACGACAAATTAGTTTGTCCATCTAGAACCAGGAAAAAGTATTTTTTTTTGGAAGTGAAAAAATTATCTGAAGACTGCGAAATCGCCTGGTAAATCCGCCATAATGGGCTCTATGCACGGCGGTATTTCCGGTGAAGGATTAAGGATGCTCGATAACTTCCGCCGATCGTAGAGTCCAATGCAATACCGAGAATTTATATTGAATTTTATACTCCATGGTTATACTAAAGAAACGTTAGTCACAAAAACGGATAAAACAGACACCCCTCGTTGTGTTTATGCTTCTTTTTAAAATTATATTAAATAAACATAACTATATAAAATTACATCTAAACGTATCTACGTTTCGTTTCAAAGACGGGAGGACAGTAAATTTTGAAGACTCTGCCATAATCCCGTTTTCCTCGGTTCTCCTCCGCTTTAATCTCCACAATCGGAAATGGACGAGCATCCTTGCGTCAAATGCGGAATTTATGCGTGCATATAGCCCATAATAACAATCCGCCATGCAACATGTGCACCTGCTCTTAATGGGTGTGTTGGATGACACTCTGATTGGTTTATTTCACGTTACGCCAAAACCACACCTATGAATAATGAAGCTACTTCAGCCCAACCCCTTTTAAACTTGTGTCGGGCGCAAGAGTGATTTACAGTCCCTCCAGGATTTCACGATTTTTTTTGTGTGATTTTTGCGATCAAAATGACTGATTTTGTGGTGGTAATTTCCAAAAATTTGTGAAAAAATTTGCGATTTATATATAACATTTACCATAATAGTATTCAGTCCTTCCAGAAAAACGCGGAGTTTTTTTGTGATTGTTGCGGGCAAAAATTGATTGATTACGCGGTAAACTGCTGGCCGCTGTGGTTACCAGCATCATACCGTAAATTTATGCAATTTTATGCGATGAAATTGCAGGAATTTGCAAAAATTGTGGTTTGATGAAAAAGAGAAAAAAAGTGATTCTCCCAACATCCTGTTCTCACTAGGCTAATGTAAGAGTCATTTCTTATTACTTCCTTTGATAAGCAAGCATACTACATCATAGAAAGTGCTGGGAATATTTAATTTCTCATCTTGTTTTATTTCAGACTGTAACGAGTGTAAATAAGGTGTGGTCCCTTTAAGAGCTGCGCGCTCCCTGTTGAACTGTGTGCGCCTTGAACACCCCATGTGTGCGGGTAATTTCAGTTTGATGCTACTTCTTTTATATTATGTTGTTTATTAAGTAACGATGTGACGGTAGAACGTGTGACAGACAGTTATACGAGTTCGATTTGTGAGATGTCAATCGCCTCCGTGAGTCTGTCTGGCGTCGCGTAATTGCGTCACTTCATAACGTTCCCATGGAAACAGGGGGAAATGGCTGCTCTTGTGTGAAGCAAACGCAACATTTTTCAACTTTCTGCTAAGATACATGTGACTTTTTTTGCAACGAAAATGCGAGGATTATGAAATTATGCAAACCCCGCATATTTTGCAAGGAAATCGGCAATTTATGCGGCGAAAGTGCGGCGTATTTGAAAAAATGCGGCCCCCGCATAAATATGAGGACTTTGGCTGATTTTGCATTGAATTCAGCGATCGCATAATCGCGTTTTTCTGGAGGGACTGGATTTACCCCGCCGGTAAAATAGCGACAGCGCACAAGACCCGCCCACAAACTTACTTGATACTTGCGTTTCAGATCGTTAAAATAAGGCCCCAGTACATTGACTAGAGCAAACCTTTGTAAATCACCTTGTGTGATTCATTTAAATACTAATATCAATTTTTCGTCTGAAAGGGAAACTCCTACAAATGCATATGCCGCAAAAATAACCCTGTCCATTTTCGACTGTATTATATTCCACTGTGTCTTCAGTAATTAGTCGTTTTTTTACGGCAAAAGTGGGTTTGCACTGACGCAAGCTGTTAGTAAATCTGGCCTTCAGACTGCTAAACACTCAGAATTCAGATATATACATTAAAGCTGCGATGAAACTCAAGTAGCGACTGATTTTTCTTCAATTTTGTGATAACAGATCATCAAAAAAGATGTATCGGTTGTTGATTGGATGGAGCTTGCAGTCAGTTAAATAAGAGGTGGGGTTTAAGCAGTCTAAATGATTGAGGAAATAAAGGTTAAAAAAAATGAAACTTGCACGGATAAATACACTGGATGAATTTCCATTTCATGCCGATTATGTTGAACCTTCTCCTCTGCGTTCACTCTCATTGCGTTGTTCTGCTATGAGTCAGTGTCCCAAGTCGCAGGAAATCGGACATGAAAGATTTGGCAGCCAGACATCAGAAGTGGTGCTTATTCCTCTGCTCAGCGCGATCAGGCCAGAGCGAAGAGCCTTGATAGGCCTGAAGTGAACTCGTGCCTTGAACTCACACCTGTGAACGGGAATAACATCCTCGATATGGCACGTCCGGATCATTTCAGATTCAATGAGCCACAGATTAGACGCATTGTGATTTTATTGAACATGGAAAATTGACTTTGTTATATGTTGTATTATTCAAAACACAAACCTTTCCAGAAGGGCCAGGATTTAAGATGCTGTAAAGCAATGAGGATTAGTTTGCTTGTTATCTTACTGTATGTGTCTCTAATGTAAAAAAAAATAATAATAGTAATCACCTTATTAAATTGGAAAAGGTGCCATTTCATGAAATTATCTACAGCATATTTTTTACATTGCAATTTGTTGAGCGTATGAAAAGATTGCTGAATAATAATTAGTAACGGTATGGGTGAATCTCACAAATAAATGTCTCGTCTTATTTCACCTCATAATGAAAACAAATGTATGTTTCATGGGATTTTACCACATTTTCACAAACTTTTTGCTATTCTGTACAAATTATATATACTAAAAATCTAACCGTACACTTTATTAAATTACACTTTTTTTTCAATCGATTGGTGCCGATGACATCAGAATGATGTCACAATGAAAAAAAGCAGATCACAATGATCTTTAATTTTAAACGAATGCATTTAGGCAATCATTTCACACAATATGTTTCCTTTTGATTTCTGGGTTAAATATGGCCTGAGTGTTTGAGAGTAACTTCAAATTCAATGACCTTTCAAGGACTTTCCAGGTCCAATACACTCAAATTTAGGGACTTAATGTGGGGACACATTTGTTTTGTCCAACAATAAACGTTCAGGTACCATCATAGTAGTTTCGTCCATGCGTGAACGTCAAGTACAACACAAAGTACCCCACGCGGGAAACACTTAACGTACCGCAGAAATAAGCGTAACTAACGATAATCAAGCAAAGCTAGTGTGCACAGGCCACAAAGTGTTGGCGAAATAACATATTAGTGGACCGGAATAATATAATATGGATTTTTTTTTCATACAAAATAAGTTCAAGGACCTGTATCAATGTATGATTAGTTTCAAAAACTTTCCAGGGCCTTGAATATTTTTTTTTCCCTGATTCACAAACTTTCAAGGATTTCAAGGACCTGAGGGAACGTCCCATAACCCCGAACACGCAGTACGGATACAGTATCTACACATTATTGATCATATAAAGAAGGAAGTCATTTGGCAGCGCACAATCTTACGTGTGAACTGAATGCGTCGTTATGTCATTATTTTTACATTTGCAGTTTCCTCTCTGATGGACATTCATCAGTTTAATCGCAACCATTATTTCCACTGAGCCGAGAAGGAAGGCAGTATTTTTCTTTTCCTGCCGAAATGTTTGAGGAGTTCTCCCTCTCACTGCACCGTGTGCTGAGTGACGGCCCGTGAGGCCAGCAGTCGGGCGATGACGTCATCGCCGTACCCCAGGGTGTCTCGGAGAACCTGGACCGTGTGCTGGCCGATCACAGGGGGAGGAGCCGGGCTGCGGGACTCAAAACTACTGAAGCGCACAGCAGGGCCTGTGTGGAAACAACACGGTGAGTTTAATAAAAATATACTTTTTGATACCCAAAACCTCCAAATATTAAAGAATTCAACGCGATAAATAGACACAACTGTTCAAAAGTTCGGGTAACATTTTTGAAAGAAGTCTCTTCTGCTCACAAAGCTGCATTTATTTAAAGGGATAGTTCACTTTGAAATTAATTTTTGGTATGTTTTAGATTAGCTCAAGGGCATCCAAGATGTAGGTGTCTTTGTTTCCACGGTATTTTCAATTTTGATATTTTTTGGTCAAACCGTTCTTGTCTGTCAGTCATATAATGCAGGTCTATGGTCACCACCTCAAAGAGCATGCACAGAGAAGTCCAAATTAAACATGATTTAATGACTCGTAAATGTAAGTACACGCTGATGGCCTAAGACACGAAACGAGCGGTTTGTGTGAGAAAACGAACAGCATTTATATCGTTTTTACCTCTTGTAACCACAGCCACGTCCAAGTGATCTGAGGGCGCGGGCGCTTTGGTCTGCACAAGCGCTGGAAGTGATCTGTCACATGTGTACATAACTTATTGTTTACACAGAGATTTCGGAAGTGTTACCCTTCACTGTTAAGATCTAAACATATTTAGATATACAGGGAATTGCAATGGAAGACGATTTCGATATATCAACAGACAACGTTGAATTTTTTTTCGCAATCACTTCCGGCGCTTTCCAGTGCTTGTTATAAATACTAAATAAAAACGATATAAATACTGTTCGTTTTCTCACACAAACCGCTCGTTTCGTGTCTTAGGCCGTCAATGTGTACTTCCATTTACGAGTCATTAAATCATGTTTAATTTGGACTTCTCTGTGCATGCTCTTTGAGGTGGTGACCATAGACCTCCATTATATGACTGACAGACGAGAACGGTTTGACCTAAAAATATCAAAATTGAAACGATGCGGAAACAAAGACACCTACATCTTGGATGCCCTTGAGGTAAGCTAAAACATATAATAAAATTAATTTCAAAGTGAACTATCCCTTTAAGTAAAACCAGTAATATTGTGAAATATTATTTCAATTTAAACCTTTTCCATGTGAATATATTTTTTTAAATGTACTTTATTTCTGTGATCAAAGCTGAATTTTCAGCATCATTAATAAACTAGGCATCCCATTAAACATGGGGATGACAGCCCTAAAAAAATAATTACATATATATATATTCAATGCATCTGGCTTAAAATAAGTGAAATGGAGTTGGAATGTGGCAGAACTTCGTTGTGGCTCAATTTACCCCCAGTTAAACAGCATGGTCGTCAGAATGCAAAACATTTACAATGAATTCTAAACAAAGACAACTAAGTGAAGTGTAGGAGGGGCGTTTGAGGAAATGGCTAAAAGCTTTTACTCATAATCTGTCAAACCTGCAGGAAAGTCCATAAGGCTACTGACTTACAATCACTGCGGAATATAAACACAGCCGACATATCCAAATGTGGCATTTACAGAGAGATGATGTCAAAATGGATGAGTAGGTCATCTGGGTGAGTCACTTCCTCAAAAACTTCAGATATTGCTATCATCAAGCAGTATTAGCATATCCTTCCCTTTCTGGCTTCTCTTTTCTTCTTGCAACTAGTTAATTTCACTGAAACGAATTGTCGTAGAATCACGGGGGAGGAAAAACAATTAAAGCGATGCTCGTTCCATGAAAAAGTGCAAGAGACGTTAACATTCATACATTGTTTTATGCAATAGTGGACAAGCACCTACACACTTCACACGTTTGTTCCTCGTCACGTCTCCTACGCAGCCACAGGTCACATTCCCCGCGAGTGCTGAAGCCAAACGCATCCCATAAATGTGTCTTGATTGCTTAACCTCCAACATCCAGAGCTTTTTCACATGTTTTCAAGGGCCTCGCACAAAAGACGTGCGGTTTTCAAAGCAGAGACGGAGCGTGTCGACCAGAGGCGAGGCCTGCCGCTTGTTATTAATGGCAAAGTCTCGTTCTTCAAACGGACTGGAGAAAGACATGCAACAGATGACAGACGGCATGGAGAACTTGGACAACACAAGCCAGAGCGACGACGCAAAATCCCTTTCTTTCTAGTTCGATTCTGTCTCCAGTCAGAGATACAGTACACAACCATTTCCACATGTTCTCTTTGATTTCAGGGCGCTTCTGATGTGAGAAACACGAGCATGAGACAGCCTGATGCTTAAAAGTGTCGAGTGTATAAGTAGGCTATATGAATGCTGAAGATGCACTTAAAACTTTTAAAAAATTGCATCCGCAAACAAATGCGGCATGAACTAACTTCAATTTTCGGAGTCAGTTTTGCAATGACTTTTGGTAAATGGACTGCATTTATATCATACTTTTAATCAACTAGTGTTTTATTGGATGTACTGTATAAGTCAGATCTCCTCAAGCTCACACTGACGTCCTAGCAGATATTTCTGTCTTCATGATCAACAGTATATCTATTGCTTTACAATTTAAAAGTCAATTCATGTCTTTTTGTTTAGCCTTTGCTTGAAAAGTGTGCTTGTGCTTTTTTAGGAACTCGTTTTTTTGTTTTTTTTAAATACTATTGAATACTTTAATATTTTGTTTGGGCCGTGTTTTATTGTTTTAAAAAGTCTTGATTATCAAATTCCACTGTATTTTTCAGTATTTCACTGAAAAAAATTAATATCAGGGAAAAACAAGACAAATTAAAGTGTAGTTATATAATGTGGATGACTAATGGTTAAGAATGGTTGAAATTAAATAAGATTATTGTTTTTTAGGAGGAGGCGATTATGAAAAAAGTCTCAACTCGAATGTGTAGAATTCAGAAACATTTGTTATTAGCGACACCGGTGGCCGTTAAGGGAACTACAACCAGCAAGTTATTGCTCACGCTCGCACTCGAGAACATGATTCAAGGCCCTGATATACTCACAGTGATTTTTTTTGTTCTTTGTTTAGAATTAAAGAGTAAAAGTAAAGACTAAAAGGTTTTAAACTGTTTAAGCGCAATAAGCAGCGAAAGAGGACTCATTTCGCTCTGACAGACTGCTTTTGAGTGCACACACCTGAAACGCACGCTCATACAGTGTGTGAGCTCTGAACTTCAATTACACACAATCAGCAGTCAGTGTGAGCGCATGTGAGAGAAGCGCTCTTCAGTCTTCTCATACCTCAATAGCGTCATTGAAAGCACTCGATTTATTTTCACTGACTGCGAGAAAAGCCTATTTTAACTTTTGATTAATAAAATGTTCTGCTATAAAAGTTTATATTATATTTAAAGCTATATTCTGTTTAAACTGTAGGCTACTTTTACATAATTACGTTTTGCTTTCGCTAAATGCCCCTTTGTGCCACCTGGTGGTCATTTCGCGAACGAATTTGAAATACGGCTGGTTTATGTTTGCCGCGGTGGTGCCAGTGGCATTCTGGTTGTCCACCTACTGTATATGAAGAGTTCAGATGCAAAAGCCTCTAAATGCCATTTGAAATTTTCTTCTTTAATGACGATTTTTATCAAACTTGTATATTTAAGTTCAGTAATTTCACTTAAATAACAATTAATAGGTAATTATCATTGCCATTTAAGTGAAATCACTGAACTTAAATATACAAGTTTGATAAAAATCGTCATTAAAGAAGAACATTTCAAATGGCATTTAGAGGCTTTTGCATCTGAACTCTTCATATGTAAAATTGCAAGTACCTCATAAACACAGTCTTTATGTTTTAATAAATGGTTGAAAAAGACAGTGCGCGTCTACCAGTATATTAAATCAGTATTCACTCTTAAAGTGACAGCAGCTTAATAAACCTGACTTGCTCTTGTAGGTTTTTTTTTATTTCTAGTGCTTAAAGTTTTTACGGTAGGTCTATCTATCTATTTATGTAGGTTTTTTGTCCTATTTCAGCACTGACTGTTTACTTGTCTTCAGTGAGCTTGAGCAATCTTTTGTTTTTATTGTTAGTTAGGCTAGTATTTTTTTTTTGTTGAAATTTGTAATGAGATTTATGTAATTTCAATTAAATGTTATATATCATAAAAACTTTGTTTAAAGCAAAAATAACTATTGTGATATATATTGTTATCGTGAAATAAAATGATTCATACCCTAAAAGGATGCAGACAGGTATTGGCGAAAAGACATTTCAGATTAAGATAAGAAATTCCAGTCAGTCGTATGGAAAACTCGGCACAGGAAATGTGCCATCATGAAGATGAGAGTCAAACGGTCATTTAAATAGAAGAAACATCCAAAAAAGGAGGGAACAACAGATCTCCAACACGATTGTGTGCGTGTGTGTGGTTTCGCAGCCTCAGCAATGCCTTCACCACATCCTCTTCCCCCTCCCTCGCTTCTGATCGACTGGCCACAGGCTCCCACATCTGCTTCTCCTCAGCCGGGACCGAGGCGAACGAGGGAGCGGGACACTCTTCTCCTCCGCAGGCATGGCCCGAGGTTTTCCTCTCGCTCTACCGCAACAAAGCCCACTGTGTTCTTTCCTCCCATTCTGAACTTTATCCATCCACTACTCCTGCTCTCACTGCACACTTCAGAGGGCTGACCGGATACACACGCCGGGCCTAACCAACTAAACACGTATAGGGCCCAATCCAGTTTGGACTCGGTTGTGGATGGGATTTCAGGGTCGCTAATCACCCACACATCTGGGTTCATTTAATCTAATGATCCGTTCAGAATAAATTAGATTAATAATGTAATAAAGTTGTTTATTTAAATATAGATCGTTCCAGGGTTTCCTTTGAAATCTTGAGTGTGAATTTGAAGTGAATTGGCCACACCACAGTGGAAGTTAAATTGGAATTGGAAGAGAAAGGTCTGCCTTCTGGGAAATAATGTGTTTCATGTAAAACACTGTTTAAAAATTTGGGGTGAGCAAGTAAAATTGATTTTTTTAAAGGAATATTGCAGTATTCTTTTCTCTTAAGTGTGCCTCATATTCTTTCAGCAAAATTACTCCCCCCTCCCCCTTCTCTTCTC